TTGGACCACAAAGTAAACTTTGTTTACAAATGTAATTAAAATAACAGAAATAATAAGAAATGGACATATTTTATAATACATTTTCGGAAAAGGAAAACATGGATATCTATTAGACCTTATTAACGCAAATGGTAAGCATCTTCACCAGGAATATTAACAGTATACCCATTACTAGCACGTTTTGTTCCACAAAATTCTATTGGCGATTTAATTTTTTTTACAATATCATCTGTAGAAACGTCTTGAATGTCGTCGATTAACAGGAAATTAAATTTATTCGAAATTCCATGTCTTCTGAAAAATTTCACTGTATAAATTTGAGAAGACGATATTTAATAGAGAGTGATGAGTGGCAAAAGTAAACGTCTAAACGTAAGCGGCGTTTGTAATTAAGGTATTTTTGGACTGTATTTGACTGTTTTTGGAAATAAATTAGTTAATAAATAAGAAATTATACCTTTCCCATAAATTTTTGTTTCAAAATTATAATGTAATACTTTATTAATTATTATTAATAATAATATAAATAATAAATTGTCATTCATTACCGTACATAAAGATATTTTTTGTATAAATATTAAATACGAATACAATATAAATGAGAATGTCTTACTACCAGTTAAACAAAAAAAATATTAGCAAAGTTTAAATCTAAAATAAATTTAAAAAATTAAATGTTGGTTATAAAATCCACTGCAATGACTTTATTTCTACTGAATTTGACAAAAAAAACTATTTACACAAAATAATAAAAAAAAAAAAAACAAAAATAACTATTTAAAATATTTATGAAAAGTCTAGTGCTTCTAAACAAGCATTAGAAAATTTACACTCATTTAACTTTTGAAAATGTAAGGATTCTTGAAAAGAAACCTAATTATAATGAAATATGGGTATTTCTCTACTAATTGGAAATTAGCTCATACAACAGTGTCCCAAGCATGTTTTTTCCGAAAAATAAGAAACTGTTAAATTTTTCCGAAATATAGTTATAAACTAAATATGTATTTTCAAAAAGCTCACACATTTTTTTCTTATTTTGCAAGTTATAGACAATTTTGTAAAATTTTACGACAGGGGACTGTTTTCTCATTCAGGGAAGTGTTATGAAAGAAACAAAAAACATATTTATAATCAATGCAACAAGTTAAAGTTTTATTTTTTATTATAACATACATACACTTATCCAAATCAACTTATGTATTAAACAAAGCAATATAAACTGAACTAATAACTATAAAATAGCAGTCTTTTCTAAATCAGTACACAACAATGTTAAGCATACTATTTGATCCTATAATCAACGTCTTAATATGTCGTTTGTAACAACATAATATTTAAAATTATTATTATTATTATTATTGGCTTTACAGCTTATAACGAAATTAGTCTTAAAAAAAATATATAAAACCTAACTTAGTTCTCAAACACAGGTATAGCTGACTTGAAAAAATAAAATATTCTTTTTCCTTTTAGGACAATATCGGGGCCTGGTAACTTTTGAGTTATTTGTTCAAAAGATACATCTGAAATATCATTTTCGTCAATTCTGAAGGTTTGACCCTTGTAATCACAAATTTTGGAAAAAGTTACGGTTAGTTCTTCTTCTTTATTGTCCATCTGATTTATTATAGCTTCATAACGATATTCCGTGTTTCTGACAGGAAACTTAATTAAAACGTAATCACTGATTTTATATTGGTTGATTGAACTAGGTCCGGTAGGTCCGGCAATATTATCAAAACCATTCTTGTTGGTCAAATTCTGGTTGTTCAGAGTCTGAGTACGTGTAAATATCCTCTACGTTAAGTTTTGGCTTTTCTTTGAACTCCATTAATCCTAAATTGAAATGCTGGCATTCGTTGTCTCAAAAACAGCTCAAAGTTTTCATTATAAGCTTAGTAGCGCCGTGTGGTAGTCCCAAAGGACATCTTTTTATGTTTCCCTTTATTTTATGTATTTTGAGGGTACCACTGAAACTTTTCTTAGCTACATCTTTTTGAACATCACTGGTCATTTTCTGAATGTCTTCGTCGTCGATGGTAAATATAATAATTCCAGGACATTTTTGTTGTATAATTTTTACAAAATATTTTAAACTATCAATGTCGTCTCCTGCAGCAATGACGGCATCGGCAGTTCGTTTGCAGGTAGCTCCAACACCATCAGGGGCGCCTTTGCCGTGACCAGTCGCGGAAAAGTTTCAGGTAAACTTTTCTACACTTGGAACTTCTAGATAAAGCCTTGATGCCAAGATACTAAACATTGTTTTATTCCGGTATTGTATTACAGGTCCATCACTGATGAAATGAATACATGTTATTTGAAGCGGCAAATATTTGAAAATTGGCTGCAAGTGAACCAATATTGCAGCTGGTGAGTGAGTGGTCTTTTGCGATATAGTACAGTAGGATTTCGTAAACTACAACAGTATGAAGATTCAGCTGAAGTCTAGATCCTCCAAAGTGATAGGCTTGTATTTCTTTATATTTGGCACAATAGTTTTCCGAAAAATCCATGTGTATAATAGCTTCTTTGTCATTGAGATTCTGTTTTAAGTCCTTGACAGTTTTGTATTGATGAAATATATTTCTTTCATGAATAAAATATTCTTCTAAATCTTCATGCAGGTTTTCTATTAGTTCACGCGGATGAACCGTGAAAGTTCTCTTCAAATATTTTGTCCGTGCTTTTTTAGACTTGGGTCTTCATATTCTTGTTTCTCTGCTACCCATTTTCTAAATTGTAAAGGCAAAAGTTTTCGACTGTGTAATGCGGATAACTTCAAATCAATATTAGCATGCTTTATGCAGAGGCATGTATCGCGTTCATTTACTTTTGGTGTAACCACCCAGAAAGGACGCAAACGACAAAAAGTCTGGTAACTGATTGCAAAGTGTTCATCTTTAAACTTCTTGTATAAGTTAAAGATTGAATTCAACAGGTACCTTTTTTGTTTTTTCACTCCGTTTCTGGTTATACATTCCCGTTTTCCTGCACCAATTCTACTGTTATCATCAGTTTCGTAAAATTTTCGCACTGTCTTGATAGACTGAGATGTGATGCAACCAAGGCGAGTCTGTGCAGTGGGTACCAAAGTTGACTGACGTGCAGACTTCTGGATTCTTTTATAAGTATTAGCACTTTCTTTGTTTCTCCAGTTTGTATTTATTTACTATTGTGCCTGACACGACTTTTCCGAATATTTGTTTTTCTTTAAATGTTTTTAATTGGGCATAGTTTTCTTTTAACTGTTCATTCAATATCTCACCAAAAATCATCTTTTTAACGACTTCTTTGCGAGTCTGTGGAACATCACACATTTTTTGTAGTTTTGTGTTCTGTGTGTCGACGATATTTTTCATATTAGCTTTTTTCAACCGCTGTAACCTCTTTCTATACTTTTCCAATTTCGTTATGTAATGAATAATCTTACGATAATTTTCTCTTATAATTCTTTCTCGCTTCTTTTTGGCTTGACTCTTTCTCATGTTGATTATTTAATTTATTGAAGATCTTGCAGGCGCCGGAGAGACTGCGGCAAGACACTCTTAATCAAGCGTATTTTCCCAAATAAAAGTATTTGTAACTTCTTGCAAGGCTTTTTTCTTTGCACAATAGGTTGTACAATACTCTTTTCATTTTTTTTACAGCATTGTGTTCACGACGGTTCATATCTTTGACTAATTTTCTTGTGCCCTTTTCTTTCTTCATTTGGTATTTGCGACGTTCTTTTTCTCTTAATTCCTCTTTCTTTTTAGGATCTTTTTTAAGTCTTTTGTACCTCAATCGTTCAGAAATTCTTTTCTGTTCCAATATTTCTTCTCTTGTTTCTGTTTTTTTATTTTTGGGTGACATTGCGAAGCACTACCTACAAAAAGAACATAAATATTTTAAATACAGGAAACTACATATTTAAAACAAATAGTAATGGTCATTGTTGAAAAAAAAACAGTTCCCTGTGCTGGAGAATACTCCCCTGTGTAATAAACTGACAGGGGACTGTGCCCAGGGAACTGTTATTTTTACGTAGTAAAGTTCCTAGCATAGAACTATTTAAATTTTTATTAAATATTAGAAATGATAGTATACTAGCTAAGCCATTTTTATATAAAATTATAATAATTTAATCATTTAAAACAATAGAAATTCTACTTACCAGATGACTGTTATAAGAAACGACCCAGGCACACTGTTCGTCTATACATGCGGCACTGAAACTAAACAAAATGCCGTCAGCCGTCAGCGTTTTGTTTCACGCTATAAACACTCTCGCCAATGCATTATATGATTTCGGCGCAATTTTCAAATTGTTACGGGGGACTGTTTAAAATTTTTGAGGACAACATTCGAATGCTTGTTTTTTATATTTACAGAAAATTTAAAATTATGAATTTGGTCTATAAACATCGTTACTGTATCCTAGTATTGCTTATATTGTTTTAAATCGGACAAATTAAGCACTGAAAATTATTACTTATTTTAAAACTTGTTATTCTGGAAATGGGACACGACAGGGGACTATAATTTGAGATCATTCAAACGCATTTAATTAAATATTATATCCTAATATTAAAAGATGTACTAAGGCGTGCCAAGAATAGGTAACAGATTGTCGTTATTTGTATTCAGAACTCCATAATATTAACAATAAATATATTAAATACGCCTGTGACAACGATTTTCCAATAAGTGGAGAAGTACCCATATAAGTGAAACACCTCTTGGCGATGTTATTAACTACATCAAATTTCTAGACAGGCTCACGAGCTAGAAGGTGCCTATTAACTTAAAATACACAATGGGCCTAGTAGGGCCTAAGTGCCGTGGGTTTACCCACCCTCCGTGCGTAACAGATATAGATATAATAAAAGAACAACGCAATCTCATTTAAATCAACAAGAGTTAATATTACTCTCTTTAGATATTGTACCTTGATATGTAAATAGGCATATTTCGTTGAAATTAGGACTAAATCTCTATTTTAATATTTGTTTCAGATTGCGACGATGAAACCCGTTCGCTAGACTTCGATCAACCACTTCTACAAAAGTCTCACATAATTTTAGGGTCAGGTAACCACCATTACCCTCCAGATCTACTACCATTCCCACCAAGAGCAGCTCAGATTTCTCCAGCTGGCAGCTCGGCTTCTACAGTAGCTGACACCACTAGACTACCCCCACATCACGGCCCCCAATCACCATTGCATAGCCCAATATACGATCAACTAAATCTGTACAGGACATTACCATACTCCAGATCGCATTCCCCATTTGTGGGCCCACCGGCTAGGGTGCCACGTACAGGTTATGTGACAATCCCAAGGCGCCCGAGAATGCAAAGTTGGAGCTCTGAACCACCCAATGCATCAGATCTAATAGTAGAGCCTTTGTACGACAATCTAGGCGTTAGAACATCAGCAGACGGTGGTACAAGTACTGTGTCTTTAAACAAATTGGAGAGTAATGGTACTCCTAGGTCTAACAGACTTTTGCCACTGAGTCCTAATAACTGCGATCCCATCGAGGAAAGCCACGAATCTCCGCCCAGTCAACCTCTTGCCAGCCAAACACTACCTAGAAACTTAAATGCCAACAAACTTACCCCTTCAAAGCTTCAGTGGACTAAAGCCAACGCCGAAGCACTAAAGACTCCTGATAAGAGGAACTCCATTTCTTCCTTGCCCTCGGATACCAAAACTACCAAGAAAATCCCTCCGAGGCCGCCACCGAAGCCCAAGAAACGACTTTCGACTGGCCCACTCTTCGAAGACGAAGGGGAGGATGGGACAGAAGTGTGAGAGTGGCTAAAATCAGTGCTTTCAGCACTGGTTGTGTCGTAACGAGGTCCAATGTAGTGACAGGGTTATTAAAAGACAGCGCGGACTGATTATAATGTATAACATTTACGAAACAGTGCCTTAAAATGACGTGAACAATGAACGATAAATAAATATGTACTTCAACGGATCTATTTTCAGAGAATTTAAACCTAGCTGCATAATAATAATAATAATAATTGTTATACACTGTACATGAAGTGAAAATTATGAGTAGATATTTCAGTGGGTGAAAAAATAGAAATAAAACCTTTATAATAATAGGTCGACGAATTGATCCCAAGGGAACTAGAGTCTTTTATAGAATCGCATCTGGAGATGACTTTTGATCAATATTACCGAAACGGTTTGTGATAAAGTAATAACATTTTGTACATTTCCTAAACAAATTCGAAAATTTCAACGAAATTTGAAAAGTTTATGTATTAAACAGGGTAGGCTTAGCTCATTTAAAAACCATTTGTTGATCTATATTTATATAAAAAATTTTCTCTATTTTTGCCTCTTAAAATATCTTCTCATAATTTACAGATATGTTATTTTTATAAATTTTGTTCTAAAAAATTAAGAAATCTGGAACTAAATAATCCAAATAAAAAATGGATAACAGTTTTTATTCCTAATTTAATAGCTATAGGAGCAACAAATAATTAACCATTGGTTTATTAAATTCCTTATTAATTTTAATTTGTTTCGCTACGCCACTTTAGGAACAGCACTATTAATTAGACCATAACAATGAATTGTCAAGTGAAAAAACATACCATTTATTAGGATTAATTTCTAATTAATCATTCAATAGAAAAAATTTCGGCCATGTCGGAATTCGGACTCAGTACCTATTAGGTTGATTTTTTTTAGCTGTAATCACTGAACCATCCATTTCCTAGATAGTCCAAAAATTGAAAAAAAATTAAGAATTAACTCAGTATATACACGACTTTTTATTCATACATACATTATTTAATTTTATATTTTTATATATTATATATTTTTTTATTAATGATTAGTATTCGTTAGGAGCAATTAACTATATTATATTTTATATTTGATATTTTATTAAAACTTGCTTGCAATAATTTTTTTATGTATATAGGGTGAATCCTAAGTTGATACCTTTTTAACTATGTATAAAAGTCATTACATTTTCAAATAACTTTTTAAAATAACTTTTTAAAATAACTTTTTCAAATAACTTTTTTCAAATAACTTTTTCAAATATCTTTTTCAAATATCTTTTTCAAATAACCTTTCAAAAAAAAATAATAAATGTGCAATAATTTATTTAAAAATGTATCCAATATGGTCATGTTTGTAGTTAGAACTTTTGTCAAAAAACTTTGATCTCATTTATGCCGTTCTAAGAACGATTCACAAAACTTAACTTTGCGGAGGAAATCTTCAAGTTGTAGTAGTGCTTGAACACGTTGAACGTGAAAGGGATTCTTGAAATGTTTTCCGCGCACTTTTCAAGGGAAAGCGTTGAATGTACAATACCGATGCAATAGCTGCAGTGTGAAAACACTCGTTATAAATAAGTAACATATCCACAAAGTTCATTGTTATCATAATTTACGCACTGAACAAATTAAATTCACTAGGTTCTTCAGATAAACACACCACTGTAATCACTATTTATTTACGATACGATGTACCAGCGTGATTAATTAGCGAAAAAATATTTAAACAGATGTATTATTTAGCTAAATTTTAACACATTAAAAATTTTGAATTCTGTATCTTCCATATTTTGGAGTTATTTTGAAAAAGTTATTTGAAACAGTTGTATTTGTAACACAGTTAATACTAAGTATCAACTTATAATTCACACTGTGTATGTACAGTGCAAAGAGAAAGTTTATGCCATCCTGCTGCACTCTAAAATATTCGAGACAATGCCCGGATAGATCCATTTTTATTTCTGATGACGCACATTTCTGCAATGAAAAATTAATTTGAACCTCTTGCGCAGAGTAGCTACTAATAGGGGTCAACTGATAGCTCATTTGAAAGAATTTTTAATTATAATTTTAACGATTTAAATTATTCAAATTTTTTTCTTTATTTTTGAGTTAGATTTAAAATTTAAAATTAACTATAAAAATAGACTTTTTCTATCAAGTTGAATTTAATTGAGACAGTTAATATTGAAATTTAAAATGATGGAAAATGTTAAATAGAGGGAAATTTTTTTTTAAACGAGCTATCAGTAGACTCATTATGTAGTTTAAAATCTTCGAGGGGGTAGTTACCTTATGCAAGGGGTTCAAATGAACGTTTATTTTTTATTGTAGAAATGTGCGCCATTAAAAATAAAAATCGACTTCTCCAAGCATTTTCTCTGGAATATTAACAGTAAAGACTTTAGACAGGAACAGTAAATTTAGAGTTTGTATAAAAATCAAGACAAAAATTTAGTTCATACTACCTACCTTATATAAAAGTAGATTTTTGCCATTTGGTTTCAGTATTTAAAGTGTTGTTTGGTGGGAAGCGTGCCAGAAGTAATTCGCTTCACAAGTAAGCTGTCACGATGCTGTCACACATTTTAAATTGAAACTTTTGAGGACTTCAAATGATATTTTTTTACTTTTTATGCAATTTAATTTTCCCATTATTCGACAATTTTATATTACTCATGCGCGAAAAAAGCGCGGGACTTGTAAATCTAGTAATTGTCTAAACCCTTTTTGCTATCTCTCTTTTACAACTATTGGGTTGGCTCCATTGATAAAGAAATGGTTGGCTACGACCTTTGCCCTTCCTTATCGTTACTTTAAACAACTGTCATCGATTCTATATAGTAAGGAGTAAGTGAAACTTTTTGATACACATTTGCACATGGCTTAATTATAAATATATCGTTAATTCTTACCCCGTAGAAGATGGAAACACTTTGTTGCAATCGATCTACAGGTGAAATGCCCTGTCAGCAAGCAAGAAGGTACTGTAAGCCAAATTTCAAGAAGGTGGCAGCAACATTTTTTTCTACCAACTTTTGATGTAAATAATATTTGTTTCAAGTTTGCGCTTCTATGACAGCATTTTCTATGCGTACTTTTTAAAACGTTATCGTCGAACGCTCCATCGCTGCCTATTAAACTATTTCCATGTTCTATCTCGATAGCACAGACACGTTTTAAAGACATCTTAAAGACGTTTGTTCACGACGTGTAAATATTATTTTACAGTGGTGGATAAAATAATTAGAAAATGACTTCAACTATTTGCGGAACTCCTACTTGTTTTCAGTTTGGTCGCTTTAAAAACTTCTGTTAAAAGCGTCTGTTACTAATGTCCCCGTAGCATATAATTTTGTAGAATTATTGTTTTAAGGTGTTTTTCTAAAAAACAAGACATTATTAAAGTGAAGTTATGAAAGTAAAAGGCCAATAAATTAAAACTTACAGTTCCAATAATGGCAAATAAATAATATAAAAAAACCATATATAAAAACACACAACCACGAAAAAGTAATGACATGTCCACAGACCGACGCTAAAAATATTATACAATGGCTATCCCGAGAAGAAGGCAGCCAGAGGAAGAACAGGGCGCGATACGCGCGCGCAAGACTATGCAATCAGCCAATGACGAATGACAATCATACATGCGCTGCTGGCAGCGCCAAGAACGGTGTCGTGGCGCCATATTTAAATATAGCGAAAATAGGTGAACGTCCACATTAACGACATATTTAAAACGTCCCAAAAACATCCCAACAGGGACGTTTTAAACATGTCCTCTGCTTAAAACTGTCCGTTTTACGTACCAGCACGTTTGGACCAAAGTAAGAAATGAACAGGACGTCTTAAAGATGTAGTGTGCTATCTGGGTAAAAGGTAATAATGAAGGAAATATTTGTAATTTAACCTTTCGAAAATAACAAACCTAAAAGGGTCACTTGTTCCTTCAACAATACTATCAAAGGCAACAACAAAATGACATTTGCGGATATGTAATTTGAACTCAGGATAGGAAATATAACAACAATACATTTAGATGATTTTAAGCGGAAGCCGAATTTGCGCATGAGCAATAAAAATCATCAATAACGGGAAAGATCTACTTAAAAAGTGTGAGTTAAAAGTATGATAATTATATTTGAAATTTTATATTTAGGTACTAATTCTACCAAATAAAATTGACAAAACGTTCACTGTCCAACGACCCATATATAGGTCGCAGGGCGTGATCGCTATACGTCCTGCGATCCACATATGTTTCACAAACATATGCATACTTGTGGCTGTATTTGAGTGAACACCTACAAGTAAAAATTTTTTATCTAGATAAAAATGCTACATTTTGGTAAAAAAAGATTTATTATCTTTAAAATTACAAACTAGTTAAAAATTCTAAAAAAAAAACGAACAATCCTATTCAAATTGAACCACAACTTGACAGGAAAGTTCAAAAATCCAAAGAAAAGCAGCTTATAAAATTACCATATTATTTTTACTTACATAAACTAAAACATCTAATGACTTTTTGATTAATAGAACAAACCGTAGTCACTTTCTTTGCTTTTTTACATGCTTCTTTTGAAGAAAATGTATCTATCAACTTGGTGTAACAGCCGTGACAAGGGTTTCTGTAAATCCTCTGTTCGTCTCCTTTAGGCAGCTCGTGCAGTTTGTGTATTTATTTTTCTTCATTCTTGTTTTTTTCTTGTTTGATATATCTGGACGTGGTTCTGTATCTTGCTTGACAATCTCTAAAAGACTGTGAATTAGAGATTGCCAGATTTGTAGCATGGATAACTGATTTTGTGGCAAACATACGGAGTTATACAAAACAAAAGTATTGACGAAAAGTGCGCCACAAATTACCTCTATAGCTATTTTTTTGAACCACTTTAGTGACTTTCGTAGGCAAGTGAAATAACTAGAGAGCTGATCTGAGGTATCAACCCCTTGTTTTCCCTTGTTGTGATCTATCATACCTGTAGACTTTACCTT